GGACCTAATTCTAAGTGAACTAACACAAGAACCAAAAATCAAATACTGCATGTTCTCACTTATAAGTGGGAGCTCAGCATTGTGTACACAAGAACATAAACATGGGAATAATAGATACTAGAGACTACTAGTCAGGAGAGAGTGTGGGGCTTGGGTTGAAAAACTACCCATTAGGTACTAGGCCCAATACCTGGGTGCAATACACCCCTGTAACAAACCTGCACAAGTACCCCCTCTTCCTAAAGTAAAAGTTGAAATAAAAAAAAACTGAGGCCAAAAAATCCTTTATGTTTTTTTAAAAATTAATAGGTAAGCTTGAAAGCAAGAAGACACCATCTTCAGGTACCATACATAATCTAATAAGAAACGCATAGCCATTAATTAGAGCAAAGTAATCCTTTATGAAACTCTGAGATAATTGACATATTTCCCAGGATAGTTATTTTTTTGTGGCAAAATATCTCATAAATTTCAGGATATTTGGCTTTTCTGGACCCATTCACACTAAATGCCAATAATATCCAATACTCATTGCAACAAGTAATAATGCATCAACTAGAAAAAAATTTATTATGAGGTTAATTAAGCTCAAATTTAAGGGTTCACCATTACATGAACTCCGCCCAGAGCCCTGTACCTAATTTTGTATTTGTAAATTTCTATTATTCCTTAAAAGGCATTAAGAATTGTACAAAACTTCAGACCCCCTAGTTCTAGATTTTACCCTGACTCTTAAACATTTTCAAACTCCATCAGGCTAGGGAAGGAGGGACAGATACATTCTCAATTGAGAAACAGTGTTTTCAGGAAAATGGATATTTACACACATGTGATGATTGGAACTGAGCCTATCGTCTATTTGTGTGTTGGGTTCCTGAAAGTCATCCCCTCTATATATCCAAAAGTCTGAAAATGATTGTGACATGTGTGACCCTAAATGTGGATAAGGAAGACTCTTTTTCCCAGCCTCAAAATAATGGATTACTAGTGAATTTTTTGTCCTGAAATATGAGTCTAAGGAATTCATCTGCAATAAACCAATATCATTATGTGTTTCAACCATGTATGTTTGAGGGCTAAAATTACCAACTTATGTAAAAATTTTCAGCCAAAAAATTAAGACAATAAATCCTATGAGGATGATCTTATTAATAAAAATTACAAAATACCTCCCAAATTTCACCACTACAAGGCAAAGTTAGCATATGTAACAAATAGAAGAATTCATACTGCAGAAAATAAAAGTAATAACACGAACTTGAAGATCTTTTAATCTGTCTTTGGGTATAAAATAAAAGTCTTCTTCTTTTTTTAATCAAGCTTATGAAACCAGTTCAGACTAAGAACCTCAAGAATGCTCTAGATTCCAGCTTGAGATGATCTTTTGGTTTGACTGTTGACTCTATCCTATTCTGAGAACAAAATCAACTTCTAGGAGTTTCAGACTGTTTAGAAATGTGAAATAAGCTATTGTTCATTTTCTTATAAACATAGTCATATATGTATATAACAAATTTTGTATACAACATTGAGATCATCACAAATTACCCAACATTTATTACTGTACCCCAAAGCAGTCATAAACCCTGGTTAACAGCACCTATTATAGATAATAATATCTATGTATAGAAGCAACTGTTGAAATCCTTTGGATTTTATGTATAGAAAAAAATTGGGGTTCTATGAAGAGGCTTGTATCTCAGCCCTTGTTTATTTCTTCTATGTTGTACTTCCATTTGGTACAGATATAATATATCCTGTATATATTATTTAGCTACAGAAAGCATCAAGTAATTTGAGCAAACTCATACTTTTTCATAGGTCATTAAATTTCACAATGCTCTTAATCTATTCCCTTTCAGAGGTGGAGAGTAGGAGATCCAAGCTAAAATGTTAAAAATATATAACAAATAAATATGTTAAGATAAAATGAAATTTGAAATTAGTATATAGTTGAAATAGTGATAGAAGATTAATAAGATAAGGTCAGGAGTGATGATGGCTTAAAGATGTATGTTAAAATTACGTAGTATATCTTCCATACCAGGATGAAAATGTGGCTTAAGCTTTCAAGTAGAAAATGTGAACCCTGAAAATCTGAGACAAGTCTCAGTTAATTAAAAAAGTTTATTTTGCCAGGGTTGAGGATGCGGGCCTGTGACACAGCCTCCTGAGGTCCTGACGGTATGTTTCCGAAGTGGTCAGAGCACTGTTGGATTTTACAGATTCTAGGGAGACATGAGATATCGATCAACATATCCAAGATGAACATTGGTTTGGTCTGGAAAGGGACAACTCAAAGCAAAGGTGGGAAGACCAAAAGCAGGGAGAGGACTTCCAGGTCATAGGTAGGTAAGAGAAAATAGTTGCATTCTTTTGCATTCTGATTAGCCTCTCCCAGGGAGGGAATCAGATATGCATTTATCTCAGTGAGCAGAGGGGTGACTTTGAAAAGCATGGGAGGCAGGTTGGCCCTAAGCAGTTTCCAGCTTGACTTTTCCCCTTTCACAAAAATGTAAAGCATTATTTTCTGATATTGCTTAATCCAAGAATATATTTAAAAGCATATAAATCTGGGATTAGAAAACACTTTCTTTAAATAGTGAATAGTTTAAATATTGCGAGCCGTATGGTCTCAAACTCATATTCTTTGCTTTTTTTTGTTTTCTGTTTGTTTTATATTAGTTTGTTTTATAGTCCTTAAAAACTGTAAAAGCCTTTCTTACCTCCCAGGCCATAAAAAAAAACAGATCCATAAGTTTGCCAACCTCTGATATGGAAAATTTGACGGACTAAGCATTCTTCAAACAATTTTGCATAGATATTACCTCTTTCTACTAAAATTTGCTAAGACAGCAATGCTAAATTTCAAGTCGTGCTTACTAATAAGTACCTGATTTATAACCCTTCTTATTTACCAGTTAATTATGAAAGCTATATGATTTCCCAGCAAGTCAAGTTAGGGATAGGATTGCTATTGTCTTGAACAAGTTTAGAAACCTGACTGCTATTTTTGTTTTCTTGAGAGCAGATGTCAATATGAGATTAGATATTCAAGACATATGTTTAAAGTAATGTTTATGGAAGATAAACAGAAAAAGCAGAGATAATCTTCATACAGGAATATTGAAACCTGTGAAAGAATAAACCATAGGGAGGTGGATTGAATATGAAAAGTTCCAGACTGCAGCACAGCTTTGAAAAAGATTTGGTCAGGCCATAAAATAGTGCTATGTCCCACAGAGAATGCTCATACTCTGTTATTGACTGAGGTATTCCAGAAGAAATGTAGACTCAGCATAAGGCAGAAATATATCTAGAGGAGCAGTGGCTAGAATTTTCAGCCAACTATACTTCCCAGAGCAAAAGATCTGAGTGACACATTTCCCTATCTGTCTATACTGACAAAACAACAACAACAACAACAACAACAACAAACAAACAAAAAACCCACAATTTTCTAAAGAATGGCAAATTTGTCAAATAATTATATATAAAAAAGCATCAGCAATTTAAAAAGAGAATTATTTCAGCCTTTTTTACATTTTATTTTTTAAGTGGAAGATTTTTTTTTTTTTTAACTCTATATGTTGCTTTATTGGAGCAAGATTCCTGATTGGTATACAGTGATGTATTTACTAAACAGAGACCTGTGCAATAATTACATACTATCCATCTAGATAGGTTGTTACACTTTTGCCTATTGATGGAATAGTTCCATTTATCAAGTTTTATACATCAAAAAGCTTTTGAATTTCACCAGACTGTCCATTAATTCACCTCTGAAAAAGTGGCATTTAATTTCAGCAACTATATTTTACAGCATTAAAAAGCTTACGCATTAGGGTGCTTCTCTGCACAATGGCATTGAGCAGACAGAGCCGAGTCCCTTATCCCACCCAGATTCACAGTCACATTTGAGAGCTTTATACCAGAGAGCAGGGACAGTTACTGCTAACCATCACAGACTTCTTACTCTGAGAGCCTATCTTCTTGGCCACATTTTATATAGCCAATGAAGACATGCCAGCAACTGTCCCATGTATAACTTCGTATTAGAGCGCCAGGTCTGTTGGATGGTCGTGGCAGGCACTATTACTTTATATCCAGGTAAAAGGCCAATTTTAAAAACTGCCACTTGGAGATAAAAATCAAGGGCACAATATACCCAGAAAAGTATTGAGCAATCTGGTATCCCAAATGATGTGAACACTTTCAGAAACCAATGGTAAATTGAACCCACGTTTCCCAGCTATGGAGATATTAATACATTGATTCAAATCCCGTTACTCAATCCACATAGCCCTGAGGTCATCCTGCAAAGTGCGTATCAAAAAATAAGAAGTTAGGGTGACAAAGTTTGACAGTGATGTTTTACAAGTCAAACTTGGAAGGTCACAGTAAGCATACCTATGCTGAGAGAAAAGCATCAAATCCTTTGTGTACACATTTAGTTTTACTGTAACAAAGCAACTTGTACACTTTTAACGTTTAAAACTGAGCATCCAGTGAATGCTCAGTTTGTCATTTGTTTCCTTTCCAGTGAAACAAAAAGAAAATTTACAAATAAACAGGAACAAAATTACCATAGAGAATGCCAATTCCAAATAAGATCCTACAGGTTCTGCTGATTCTCCCATTGAGTGGCAGGGCTCAAGTCATCATTAGGAGAGAATTTATTTTTAAAAGTGTCATCTTAAACTGCAAGGATGTCTGTCAAATATCACAATTAAACATGCCAGAGGAGAAGCCGTGTTGTCAAAATGCCCCCTTAACCCATCCAGACATCTCAAACCCACCCTTTTCTGACCTTCTATGACCCCATTTTTTAAAGTCTTTTTTTTCTTTTTTTAAACAACGGAAAGTAGACAGATACAAGTTGGTAAATGCTAACTGTCCATATTCACGTAGAGACATGCTGTACTCTCTAAGCCCAATATACAGAGAAAGGAGGAAAAAAGCGAGAATTCTATGCACTACTACACAGGCACTTAACACCCTCCAGCTTCCAGCAAAGCGAAGGGAGCAGGTTTTTCTTTTATCCCACAGAGCTCGGTGGTGTTGATTCCATACAGTTTTTGTTGAGACAGGAAGGGGTAAAAGTGAACTTCGAACAGAAAGGGGTAGAGACTCTTTTCCCATTGTATTGTGCTCAAGGTATTTCCCCCAAAAAAAGTTGAGAACCATGGAGTAGAGAAAAGAGACCTCAAGAACAGGGCGACTGAGCACAAGAGGAAAAAAAAAAAAAAGACTGCAACTTGCTCCCAGGGACTGGAGAAAATTTAAAAAAAGGAAGGTTGGAATTCATCAGTGTTCTATTAGTTATCTTCTCCTTCATCCTCCTCTCTTTCCTCCCCTTCATCATCATCTTCATCTTCTTCACCTTCATCCTCATCCCCTTCTTCATCAATATCTTCTAATCTTTCCTCCTCTTAATCATCATCATCATCATCTTCTCCTTCTCCTTCTTCATCATCCATATCAGGAACCAAGTAGTACTGTAATGGGTTTGACCAAATATCATCTTTGATGACCTCTCCTAACGCATCAGCACCTGCATCAGAAAGGTCAGTAAACCAGGTAAAGAAGCTCTCTGGTTCCTCATGCTGCCTCTTCCTGCTGGCTTTATTCTGCGTTTGACTTGAACTTTTCGTCAAATCCTTTCCAGATTTCCATTTGATTTCGGTGGACTTTGAAGATGGACCACCACTCTCACTCAGATGAAATTCTTTGGAGAGAACTTTATTTTCAAAGTAAGGATTTTCATCAAAATAAAAATTTATTCTGTAACCTGATTTAATATCTTCAAATTCTGTCACTTCAACTCTGGTCAAATAATGCAGTGCCTCTTCGTCTTCCTCCCCAAACAGTGCAGACACTTGTGGATGGTTGACAAATGTTGTTACCCCAAAATTTGGGATTTTGGCAATCAATTCTGACCTCTTCTGAAAAAATGGTTGGTGGAGTTTGTTATATTTCTGTTCTACTTTCAAAATCTCCTCACTGGCTTGTTCATTAAGTCTGTCTATTTCATTTTGTACTTCATCAATGTGTTCAATTGCTTCTTGCTGTTCTTTTTCTCCCTTCTTCGGCAAGCCTGCAGAAGCCGGTGTCTCCTCCGGTCCCAGAGCAGGCGGTGGTCTTGGTTTCTTCTTTTGAGGCAGGAGTGAAGACTGCCCTTTAGGGGCCATGCTGTTCGGGAAGTCCTAGAACCAGATCACGAGTCTCCTCGCCCGTCCGGAAGCAGGCTGAATACTGGAAGATTTTTATTATTTTATTTTTAGAGCTTTTTTATTTTTAATTTTTATGAGTACATAATGGGTGTATATATTTATGGGGCATATAAAATGTTTTGATAGAGGCATGCAATATGAAATAGTTAACCACTTCAAAGAGAATGGGGTATCCATTTCCTCAAGCATTTATCCTTTGAGTTACAAACAATCCAATTACACTCGTGAAGTTGTTGAAAAATGTACAATTAAGTTATTGTTGATTTTAGTCACCCTGTTGTACTATCAAATAGTAGGTCTTATTCATTCATTTGATAATAGAATTGAATTGCTAGTTGTGGAGTTTTGCATCTATATGATTGGGTTGTATGTATGTATGTATGTATGTATTTATTTATTTATTTATTTTGAGATGGAGTCTCACTCTGTCACCCAGACTGGAGTGCAGTGGCAGGATCTCGGCTCACTGCAACCTCCACCTCCCGCGTTCAAACAATTCTCCTGCCTCAGCTTCCCAAGTAGCTGGGACTACAGGTGCCCGCCACCACACCCAGCTAATTTTTGTATTGTTGTAGAGATGGGGTTTCACCATGTTGGCCAGGCTGATCTCAAACTCCTAACCTTGTGATCCTCTCACTTGTCTCTCAAAGTGCTGGGATTACGGGCGTGAGCCACCACACCCTTCCTGTCTGTATTTTTTTAAATGTGTCTTTGGTTTTGGTATCAAGGTAACACTGGCCTCATGGAAAGAGTTAGGGTGAATTCCCTTCTTGTCAATTTTTTGAAATAGTTTCAAGAGTTTTGGTTTTAGTTTTTCTTTGTATGTTTGGTAGAATTCAGTTCTGAATCTATTTGGTTGTGAGTTTTTTTTGTGGAAGAGTTTTTTTTATTACAGATTAAATCTCACTACTCATTATTGGTCTGTTCAAGAGATCTATTTATTTGTGGTACAATCATATGAAAAAGTTCTATGTTTCCAGGAATGTATCCATTTCCTCTAGGTTTTCTAGTTTGTGAGCCTATAGTTGTTCATAATAGTCTCTGAAGAACTTTTGTATTTCTGTGGTATCAGTTGTAATGTCTTCTTTCACATTTCTGATTGTGTTTATTTGGATCTACTCTCTTTTCTTGGTTAATCTGGTAATGGGTTTATCAATTTTGCTTATGTTATTGAAGAACCAATTTTTCATTTCAATCATCTTTTGTATTTTTTTTTTGTCTCAATTTGATTTAGTTCGTCTCTGACCTTTGTTATTTATTTTCTTCTTTTTTTTTCTTGTTTTTCTAGTTCCTTGAGGTGTGATGTTAGGTTAATTTGTAATCTTTTTACCTTTTTGATGTAGATATTTAATGCTATAAACCTCCCTTATATTATTGCTTTTTCTGTATCCCAAAAGATTTGATAAGTCATTTTTTTTTATTTATTTCAAACATTTCTCTAATGTTTTTCATTTCTTCATTGACCCAGTTGTTACTGGAAAGGGGTCCCGATCCAGATCCCAAGAGATGGTTCTTGGATCTCACACAGGAAATAATTCAGGGTGAGTCTGCAGTGCAAAGTAAATGCAACTTTATTAAGAGAGTAAAGTGGTGAAAGGACATAGACAAAGTAGGATGTTCCCGAAAGTAAGAGGAGGAACACATCCACCCTAGTTAAAATGCTTTTGTGTGTGTGTGTGTGTGTGTGTGTGTGTGTGTATATATATATATATATGAGATACAAATAGATCTTGGGGAGATGTGTTCTGATGCAAGGGTTTGTGATAAAGGATTAATTTTCTTAATTACTACATTTTGCAAGAATCAATATTATTATCTTTAAAGCAAAATTAGGAATGCCCCTGTTCTCCAGATATGGGGATATCTGGACATGCCCAAGTCTGGGTCTGTTTCAGTAAACCTCATTAATTTGTTCCCTTAACAGTAAACATCTAGAGGCTAGGAATTTCTAATTTTCTGGGAACGCAGCCAAGCGAGTCTCAGCCTCATTTTCCTAGTCCTCACTCAAAATGGAGTCACTCTGGTTTGAAAGCCTCTGACACAATGATTGTGCAGGAGCATGCTATTTAATTTCTATGTATTTGTTTAATTCACAAAGTTTCTCTTGGTATTCATTTCTAGCTTTATTCCACTGTGGTGTGAGAAGATACTTGATGGGGTTTTAATTTTTAAAATATATTGACTTGTTTTGTAGCCTAATATGTGATCTATCTTACAAAATGTTACATGTACTGATAACAATAATTTGTAGTCTGTAATTCTTGTGTAGAATGTTATGTAAGTGTCTGTTTAGTTCATTTGATCTAAGGTCTAATTTAAGTCCAATGTTTCTTTGTTAGTTTTCTGTCTCAATGATCTATTCTGAGCTGTTAGTGGGATGTTGAAGTCAACGACTATTATTGTATTCCTTTCTATGTATTTTTTTTAGGTCCAGTAATATTTGTTTTGTAAATTTAGATACTTCAGTGTTAGGTACATGTATAGTTAGAACTGTTATATCCTCTTGCCAAATTGATCCCTTTATCATATAATGACGTCCATTGTCTTTTTTTAATTGTTTCTGATTTAAAGTCTACTGTAGCTGATATAAGTATAGCTACTCCTGCTCACTTTTTGTTTTCATTTGTGTGAAATATCTTTTTCCACCCCTTTACTTTCAGTGTGTATGTACCTTTATTGGTTATACAAGTTTCTTTTAAGCAGGATATAGTTGGATCATTTTTTAAGTCCATTCTATCAATCTGTATTTTTTAAGTTCAGCATTTAGTCCATTTGTATTCAAGGTTAATATTAATATGTGATTCATTATCCTGGTAATATTGTTAATTGTTTTTACAAATTTTTGTTTCCCTTTTTTTCTCTTTTTGTCTTTGTGGTTTCAGAAAATTCTGCCATGTTGCCATTTCATTCTTTCTCTTCCTCCTTTGTGTGCTTGTTGTCTGACAACTGTGTGTTTTATACTTCCATGGGTTTTTATGATGGTGAATGTCAACCTTTCATTTCCATATTTAAGGCTTCTTTGAACATTTCCTGTATTGCTAGTCTAGTGGCAAATTCACTTAGCATTTGCTTATATGAATAAAACTTTATTTCTCCTTCATTTGTGAGGCTTATTCCAAATAAAATTCTTGGCAGACAGTGTTTTTCTTTTAGCACCTTAAAAATACGGTTTCATTCTCTTATGGCCTGTAAGGTTTTCTGCTGGAAAGTTCAATGTTAATCTAATGGAGTTTCCTTCATAGTTTACTAGATGCATTTTTCTTGTTAATTTTAAAACTATTTCTTTTACTTGAACTTTAGACATTCTGAATACAATATTTCATGGTAAAGTAATTTTTGCAATGTGTTTGCCTGAGTAGCACTGGGTTTCTCTACCTCAATGCCTAACTCTCTTGCTGAACTTGAAAAGTTTACACCTATTACGGCCGGGCGCGGTGGCTCAAGCCTGTAATCCCAGCACTTTGGGAGGCCGAGACGGGCGGATCACGAGGTCAGGAGATCGAGACCATCCTGGCTGACACGGTGAAACCCCGTCTCTACTAAAAAATATGAAAAACTTAGCCGGGCGAGGTGGCGGGCGCCTGTAGTCCCAGCTACTCGGGAGGCTGAGGCCGGAGAATGGCGTGAACCCGGGAGGCGGGGCTTGCAGTGAGCTGAGATCCGGCCACTGCACTCCAGCCTGGGCGACAGAGCGAGACTCCGTCTCAAAAAAAAAAAAAAAAAAAAAAAAAAAAAAAGAAAAGTTTACACCTATTACTTCCTTAAAAATGTTTTCTATAACTTTTATCTCTATTCCCCCACAGTAATATCAATAATTTGTAAGTTAATCAATTTATTTAGTCCCAGATGTCATAAAGACTTTTTAAAATCAACTTTTAGACTTTGTTATCAAATACTCCTGAATGCAGGAACAGCATAATAGAAGATAATCAGTGTCCTGGATTACCACACTTAATTGAAGTAAACCATGATGTAAATAAAATAAATGTTGAGATGGATTGTTTATCCAGTGAAATAATGAGTTTACCTCTTCTTGCTGATGGAGTAGCAGTTAATACTGACAGAAAAGAAGAAATTTCAGATGTTGGGGTAAGAAGGAAAGTAAATTTTCCAATTACACCTCAGAATGTTTTAATGAGTAGCTCTGAAAAAATTATACTATCACAAAATAACATTTCACAAACTAACATTTCTCAGTCAGTTCTATTTGGTAATAAAAATCTCATTACCAAATGCCACCTTGTTAATTCATTTAACTGGAGAGGAGACATCAAGAACATACCAGACCCATTTCCTTTGGTGGTAACCTGATTGCCTCCTTTTCACCTTTAAGCCTCTCTGTGTAGAACAATCAGAAGAATTTTAAATTTAAAAGTAAAACAAAATACTTCCCTCCATATTTTTAATGCTGTAATATATTCTTTTTTTTTTTTTTTTTGGACAGGATCTCACTCTGTGTGCAGACTGGAGCATGGTGGCATGACCATGGTGTGCTGCAGCCTCAACCTCCTGGGCTCCAAAGGATCTGGGACTACAGGCACACACAGCTATGGGTAGTTATGTTTTTTTTGTTGTTGTTGTTGTTGTTGTTGTTGTTTTTAGTTTTGTAGATACAGCATCTCACTAAGTTGCCCAGGCTGGTCTCAGTCGCCTGACCTCAAGCAATCCTCCTGCCTTTGCCTCCCAAGTTGCTGAAATTACAAGCATGAGCCTCTATGCCTAGTCTGTAATATATTCTCTAGACTATTAAAAATTTGGATAATATATATGTATATTCACTTCTATTGAATCTACTTGTGTAATATTATCTGTTTAAATGTTAATCATTAAACGAACTGTATGCTTTCAGCTATATATCTCAGCAATATGTTCCAATTTAGATACAATACTGTTTTTCAAGGGAAGTGGAAATAGTTTGTACTTTAACCATGCAAAATAAAATTGTACTTTGAAATAAATTGATTTTTAAATGTTACAACAACTTTGCATTCTTGGGATAAATCTGAGATAATCGTTTAT